TGGTGTGACTATAAAGCAATCCTGCATCTGGTTCCCACGAACACTCCAAAACTTATAGGTTCAGGAAGTGGTGTCTTTCAAAGAAGTCACTCTGCTCGTATCAGTTTCGGATTTCCTCTCACAAAAGTGTCTTCAGAGCTAGTTTAGTAATGCCAAAAGAAAATCAATTTCATTATAATTTGTAAGAAATTCTTTATTAGTACACAATGTTACTCCAGTTTTTACTCCTTCTTTCACTACCTTCTTTAACTAAATTTCATCCCTTCCTTCTTTGTATACTTTGTTTTTACTGCTAATGTGTTTGACTAAGACTTCAAGGACCTATTGTTGAGAACCTGGGGAAAAGAGTGTGGGAAAGGGTTCTGAAGCTTAATAAAGCCTGGGACTTGGGGAGGGGGGCTGGGAGGGGGCTGGACAGTCTGCATGTGAGGCCCAAAGGTAAGGTGATGTTATAATTTATCACCCCATTCTGGGATACTTTCAAGTGTGAATGGGGACATGATTAATAATTATTCCAGGTCAACCAAGATGTATGGTCACCCAATGGGTATAGGGAGCAAGTCAGGGAAGGTACTCTGACTATTATCTGTCCACTTGGGCTGCCTTTAGGGCCAGAGATGGGTGTAACTGCCTTAGGGCCATAAATGTGAATTGCCGGTTGTAGAGGATGGCTTCTATTTGAGGATGGAGCTATCATTACATTTGATTATTTGATCACTGGGACAGATCCATGTTTAACTTAGGGAAATCTCATTCAGTAAGAAACAGTTAAATTGAATTTGTTGGAATTATTTCTAATAGGTTATTACAATTTTATGACTACCTACACACTTTTTTTTGTTGTTTGGTTTTGCGGTACGCGGGCCTCTCACTGTTGTGGCCTCTCCCGTTGCGGAGCACAGGCTCCGGATGCGCAGGCTCAGGGGCCATGGCTCATGGGCCTAGCCACTCCGCGGCATGTGGGATCTTCCCGGACCAGGGCACAAACCCGCATCCCCTGCATCGGCAGGTGGACTCTCAAGCACTGCACCACCAGGGAAGCCCCCTACACACTTTTGGATACTCCTTAGTATTGGATACTCCTTGGTATATTTTCTAGGTATTACGACACACCCACCCACCTACATATTTTCTGTCATTTTCTAAGACCCCACTATAACCCTGGAATTTTCATATCTTCTTCTCTTCTCAAAAGACTAATAAAAGATTAAACAACCAACAAAATCCCTCTAATTGTGTGATCATTCAGTCTAAGTTGTTCCTTCATTCACTGCCCTGTAGTCTATTCCTTTGTCTTGTGTTTTCCGACTTTGGAAAAGCTACAAATTCATTCAGTTTGTTGGCCTTTCCACATAAGTTGTGTATTGTGCCAAATCTCATTCATTCTCATGGAAATGGGCCTATAACACAGTGTCCATACCAATATATTCAGTAAGTATTGCTTTGTTTCTTAAGCCACTATCCATTGTAACGCACGTTTTAAAAAACTCAAAATCTACAAATTCCCTCTTTTAATAGTTTCAAAGCTAACTCTGCTATCTGTAGTACATACCTTTAAAAGAATGCCAATAGAGCAGAATTCATTCATTCCACAAAAATTTATTGAGTTCCTCTTATTAGTAGGGGCACTGATGAAATACAGGTGAAAACACACAGTTCCTGACCTCAAGACTCTCAAATTCTTGTAGTAATATCAACAAATAGCTACAGTAGACTGTACTAAATGCTGTAGCAGAGGAACATACAAAGCACAATAATGGAACAAAGAGACTTGAGAGACCAACAATTTCGCTTGGTAGGGAGTTAGAAAAGGCCTCCTTTAGGAAACACTTGTGCTGGGTCTGGAAGGTGGAGTGGAAATTTTCTAGGGGGAAAGAAAGAAAAATTTAAAAATTTGAGCCCCTTCTATGAGCCAGACACCTTACATAGAGTATTTAATATACTACTCTCATAAGACTTATCAGACAGGTTTTTATTATTACATTTTTAATAGAATTTTTAAAAGATTAAGTCATCTGTTCAATGTTACAAAGTGGGTGAGCTATGGAGACTGATTCAAGTTCTGTGTGTCTGATTCCAAAATTGTCTATGCTTTTTCCATACTGCTTCCCAGCAGGGCAGAAGGGTATATGATTCGTAGGTTTTTGTTTTGTTTTGTTTCTATTTAATTTTTATTTTATTTATTTTTTATTGTTATTATTTTTTCTGGCTGTGTTGGGTCTTTGTTGCTGTGCGTGGGCTTTCTCTAGTTGCAGCGAGTGGGGGCTACTCTTTGTTGCAGTGCATGGGCTTCTCACTGTGGTGGCTTCTCGTTGCAGAGCATGGGCTCTAGGTATGCGGACTTCAGTAGTTGCAGCACTCGGGCTCAGTAGTTGCGGCACCTGGGTTCTAGGGCACGCGGGCTCAGTAGATGTGGTGCACGGGCTTAGTTGCTCCATGGCATGTGGGATCTTCCTGGACCAGGGGTTGAACCCATGTCCCCCTCGTTGGCAGGCGGAGTCTTAATCACTGCACCACCAGGGAAGTCCCCTGATTAGTAGTTCTAAATCCTGTATGACACCATCTACATAAAGTTCAAGAATAGGCAAAACTTAGCTATGATGAAAGATGTCAGAATAGTAACTGTGTTTGGCAGAGGTGATATTTGGGGAGCAGGAGGGAGACTTTTGGGGTACTGGTCAGTCTTCACAGGTTTATATATGTATAAATTCGTTGAGCTGTACATGTAAGATTTGTGCACTTTATTGTATGTAAATTACACCTCAAAAATCTACATGAAAATGTATTTGCTACATGATTTGGCTTTTATAGGTCAAGAAAGTTGATCTCTGTATTCTCATAATGCCTTTTTTATTGACAGGCTGCTTGTTGTAGATACTTATTTTTCTCTAAATAAAATGGATTAATTACAAGTAATGACAGTGGATCAGTCTTGCCTCTCTTAAGCATAGGTCTTTACTATAATCTGCTTCCTAACAATCCTAACTGTCAAGATAATAAAATTGTGGATTTTAAGAGATGAAGAGCTGCTTAGAGGCTTCTAGAAGGGTTGCCACATGGGTCTTTTTGCGACTTTGATGAACGCGAAACGATAGATCTCCTCCCCAAAAATGTACTATGCACAAAATTTTGCATGGGATTTTGAGATTATCACACCACTTAGGACCCACCTAGCAGCCAAAGATTTCAAATTAAGATTCTCTGAACTAACACAATCATTTTCCTACAGGTGAAGAAAAAATAGTCCCAAGGAAGGAAAGGAGCCTGTTTAGGTGCTGAGGGAAGACAGAACTCAGACATTCTGATATTCAGACATTTATGCTGTTCACTCCAACAGCACCTCTTTAGGTATCATTAGATCTCCTTTGCCCCAAAGCCTTTATCTGGGGAGATCCTGAGTTCAGAAGAACTTCCATAATATCTTGTATCCTACCCTTTGTAATTGGAATCACATCAGGAGCTGGTCAAATTTTACCTTGTGCTTATTGGAGAACAATACGTGCAAAGCTGAGTTGTGACATTAGTCCTTCTTTTTTCACAGACTGCCTCAAAGCCCAGAACTAAAGTTAAAATTAAAATGTGATAAAAGTGTTAAAAGTTTTTCTTGGGCTTCCCTGGTGGCGCAGTGGTTGAGAGTCCGCCTGCCGATGCAGGGGACGTGGGTTCGTGCCCCAGTCCGGGAAGATACCACGTGCCGCGGAGCGGCTGGACCCGTGAGCCATGGCTGCTGAGCCTGAGCGTCCGGAGCCTGTGCTCCGCAATGGGAGAGGCCACAACAGTGAGAGGCCCGCATACCGCAAAAAAAAAAAAAAAAAAAAGATAAAAGTTTTTCTTTTCTTTTTTGTTTTTTAATTGTTTGTTTTAGAGAAATCAACCCTGAAGTGTTGCCTATATTTACACTCTGAAACTTAAAACTTTATTCTGTGCTGATCTTTATAACACTGGAAAGATTCCACTGAACTTACTCTTTGTTCTCTAAACTTTTCAATGGTCTCTGATTAAAAAAATAAAATTCCAGCCTGACCCAGGAAATTTGTCCAATCTGTGCCCATTCAGTTTTTCAGTCTGGAGCAGAATTCTTGCACCCAATCCAAATAGAGACTATGAGAAGTGAGAGGACCCAGAAAGCCTTTTCTTCTGTGTGAAAAGGCCTGATCTTAAGTGGACCAATCAACGAAAGAAAAGGGCTCAAGCTGCAGCCTACAAATTACTTTGAGTTTAGTGTGCTTGGGATGAGGTGCAGAAATCACATAGAACTGTAGGTGGACATGGAATAAAAACCACGTGCACATGCATTCTATCTGCACAGGATTTCCTAGGTACTTACCGAACTATTCCTTTTGCGCAACCATCTTTTGCTTTTCTAGCAGCATGATGTAAGCTTACATTTCTTGAACACTTTACCATATGTGCCACGTACTGTTCTAAACGCATATTATTTTAATTTAATCTTCATAATAACCCTTTAAGGTAGTCTTATTACTATGATCATTTTATAAATGAGCAAACAGGTTTTCAAAGGCCAAGTAACTTGGCGAAGGTCACAGAACTTGTAAGTCGCGAAATTGAGCATCACATACAAACATCTGGCTTTAGTACTTGGGTTCGTTCGTCCTTCTCTGGTCAAATAAATAAGTAATGATACATTAAAGACTGGCAAAAACAAAGATTCTCCTAGGTACTGTATTATTTTCACCCAAATCTCCAGCCTTTCTTATTGATGGAAACCGGGTCGGACACACGGAGTGGACAGGGGGCTTCTGGTAGGAACGAGGCTGACGGAAAGAGACAGGGCGGGGGTGGGGGGGGCGTGTCTTTTAGAGGGCGTCGTGGCGCAAGGAAAGGCTCCTCCGGGGGTCTCCCCTCCCAGCCCCGACCGCCAGCCTCCTGTAGCCTCCGGGCCCGCAGCAGACCGCCACATCGCCGCGGCCCGGCCCCAGCGCCGTGCGGTCCAATCATCGGCGCGGCCTGGCGCCCCGCCCCTCCGCCGGGGCTATATAGGCCTCGGCCTTGCCTGCTGCATCACCGCAGTTGTCGCTCGGGCTTCAGCCAGTGATCACCCGAGGAACGGAGGCCACGGCCCTGTTCACGTTCGGTTCCACCCTCCCCACGTACCGCGCGCCGCCTCTCTGCGGCCGCCCGCTGAGCGCCGCCGCCGACCTGAGCCCCCTCCCGCCTCCCTCCTCACCTCTCTATGTGTCCGCGGCTGGCCGGCGCGATGCGGCTGGGCCCGAGGCCCGCCACGCTGGGGCTGCTCCTGCTGTGCGCCGCGGCAGCCGGCGCCGGGGAGGCCGAAGAGTTGCACTACCCACGGGGAGAACACCGCGCCGACTACGACCGCGAGGCGCTGCTGGGCAGCCAGGTGAGGCGGCCAGGCCGGGGGTTGGGAGGGCCGGGCCTCGCAGCGCGGCTGCCGCGGGCTTTGTCCCGGGACAAAGGGGGCGGCCGGGCAAGGCCTGGCCGGGGCAGCCTGACAATGGGGGCCGGGCGGGGCGCAGCTCACTCTCCCGTGGACCCCGGGGGCTGTAAGGCTGAGAAAATAAAGCGGCCGAGGAGCCGGATCCCTTCTACCCTCCCTACAAGAGGCAGGATCACTGAGGTTGTGTAGGGGGCAGGGGCCTTGGAGAGCAGGTGTGGGTCATCCCAAAAGCCCTCGGCGAGGGTAGCTCTATTTTTCTCCACCATTTTGCCCTCCTGATAGTAATGCTTGACCACCCCCTGTATATCGCTTACCCCCCAAAGGAAGAAGTCGATGAATATGTTAAACTCACCCCCGAAGAGCAACACAAAAGACTGAAGTCAATCATAAAGAAAATTGACTTGGACTCAGATGGCTTTCTCACCGAAAGTAAGGACGTCCTACACAACTAACAATGGAGACATCCCTTTGTAGGAGACAGAAATACAAACATTTAAGCAGGGTGTCTGTTGAGTGTAGATTGCTAGTGTTCCAGTCAATTACAGGTACTGTGTGAGAGGGAAAAAAGGACATGGTGAGTAGGTTTTATACCTGGAAATCTTTAGACATAGGTTACCAACTAACACTTAGTGCTTTCTCCAGTAATATATAAATATCACTGACCCTACATGGTATGTGCAAGTCACACCTAGAGCAAACGCCCTGCTCCTCACATGACTTTTTATCAATATCAACATGATTCATTTTAGAGAAACATGCTAAAAACCTTCTTAAGGCATTAAGTGGTTTATAGCTCTTTTGATATATGCTTCATTAGAATCTTAACATCTTGCTTCTTTTTATAAGCAAGTAGAAAAGGACCTGTTGCATGTGAATTATGTTTATCACAAATTATTATAACTGATAGAGGCCTTAGAATCATTATGTCCACCTCTTTTTGTAAGAAACTGAAGCCCAGAGGCATTAAGTGCCTTGCTCCAATGAGTGGCAAAGCCAGGATTAGAACCCATATCTCCTGCACTTAATTCAGTCTTTAATATCCTTCACTTAAAAAAACAAAGAAACAAAAAACAAAGTGAGTGCTCTTAGGTAGATTCTAGAGTCAGAAATGAAATGCACAGATTCTTTAAAGAATATTCCAAATAAATTGCTGTGCATCTGCCTCACCTCATTGCTTAATTCATGTGATGAACCCGATCAACTTTCCAAGTTGATCCTCAACAAAAATTCAGGAGCTGTTTTCTTATAACTCTTATTTAAATACTGTTCAGCATCTGAAGAATGAAGTTGCTGGAGAGAGAATTATAAGCTGATTAGTAAATTCAAGATGTGTTGTCAATGAAGTATTCACATTGGTGCCCTCAGGAGTATTAAGGTTTTGTTCCTTGTACTTAAACAACAGAACCTTTAGACTAATTATCCAATAAGAATAGGTCCATCTTTTGTTACACTAGAGAGCACATAAAACAAGTTGATTTGGAAGACTTGGTGCTATTTATCTGTAAGGGCCTACATGTGTTCAAATATTTAATAGTAAGCTTTTTAAAAAGTTAAAATTAAAAGGAACTTAGTCCAAATCTTCATTTTATAGATGAGAAAACAAAACCTAGAGAGGGTAAACTTATTCCTTACGGCAGAGCTGAAGTATGAACCCCTGTTTCTGACCTTTGTTTTGTTCTGTATTCTGTTAAGCCATGATGATCATTCCACTTGAGGACTGTTCAGGGAATTTTGCTTATTTGCACTTTAAGGGCCAGGACTGGACTCAGGTTCTTGAGAGACAGCTAAGTTCAGTTTGGGCTTTGAAGCCAAACATGGGTTTGAATCTAGACTCTGCTACTTACTAGCCGTGAGTCCTCAATTCCTAACCTCAGTTTCCTGAACTGTAAAACAATTATTATAATTGCCTTGTTTTGAAGATTAGAGACAAAGTATATAGAGGACCTGATATATAATAATTGTTCAATACATGGTTGCCATAATTATTCTGCCCTGATTTAGAGTTTCAGGAGAGACAACGTGTCTTTACTTTTCTATTCACCTGACCTCCCCCAAACCAACAGAGGAGTACCACTCTTTAAACCAAATGGTGTATTATCTTTAAACCAAATGGGTACTCTTGCTTCCTTGCAAATATTTATGTTTTTCTTCCCCCCCCTTTTTTCTATAATGCAGTATAGTAAATATTTCTATGACAGATTTTTAAAAGTTCATCTGAAGGTGGACATTTGCGATTTAGAAACTTTTCCCCTATGTCTTCAGGTACCCAGTTAAGACAGACAGCTGTTATAAGAAGGGCATAAATCATAATTGCTACCCATAACTTTTTAAAATTTCCTCCAGATGCTTTATGACATAGTTAAAGGGAATGTACTGTAACAATATTTCTCAAACTTCAGTCACTTGAGTACATTTTTCACAATTTAGGCCCTATTTACTTATCTATTATTTCCTTAATATAGTCTTGATTCAACTTAATGTAAAATGTATTTTAAAGGAAAACTTTATATTTCATAAATGAAGAACACTATTTTTTCCAATACATATTAAAATAAATGGGCAGTTATTCAAATATTTGTGCTTCCTGAGATATCTGTGATAATTAGCAAAAGTTATCTACAATTTTTTGGATAATATGTTTTAAAAGTCAAGTGCTATTTTGGCCAATTGGTAGTTTATTTAATAAATACTTGTTGAGCCAGGTGCTTTCTAGGCATTTGGAGTACCTCCAAAACATACCAAAACATACCAAAACTCTCTGTACTCAAAGAGCTTACATTCTGTGTAGATCACATATTATAACATTCTTAAGACTCCAAACAGCTCTCCCCACCTCCTACTCCTATTTCTATGAATACAACTAGGCCAGTTCTCACTCACTATTTATATACATTAAAGATTTTTTTCTTCTTTTAAAGAATGTTTAGAAATTCTCACTCGTTTTAAGTATCAGAATTACTATCACATTCATTGTGTTCTGCGAAATTCTCATAGGTGAACTCAGTTCATGGATTCAAATGTCTTTTAAACATTATGCTATGCAAGAAGCAAAACAACAGTTTGTTGAATATGATAAAAACAGTGATGGTAGTGTGTCGTGGGATGAATACAATATTCAGATGTATGATCGCGTAATCGACTTTGATGAGAACACTGCTCTGGATGATACAGAAGAGGAGTCTTTTAGGCAGGTGAGTACAAGTGCACAAGCTTTTGATCATATCAGTTCACTTTACCTTCCTGCATGAGTGAGCACAAGAGGCCTGAGGTCATAGATTGATTGCTTTGTTCTCTAGGCAATCACCTGTTTCACTTCGGTGGTCATTTTGATGGTTTCCTTTCTAGCCAGATTTAGGACTCTTATTCTGGACTACTTCAGTTATCCTTGCATCTGTATTTCTCAGCTGCATCATTTGTCCTCATTTCCAGGGTTGCTTTTTTAGTGTATTTTGAATATGTATCTCAATATTATATTTTTTTTTGTTATTGAACAATTGGTTTTATTATTATATTAAGACTGTAGAGGCCTATTCCCATTTTTAAGCACATAGTTTTATATAAAATAACTAAAATTTTTTTAAATTGTGGTAAGGTACACATAACAAAATTTACATTTTAACTACTTTTAAGTGTGCAGTTCAGTATTGTTTAGTACATTCACATTGTTAGGCAACCACCACTTGACTTTCTGTCTCTGAATTCAACTATTCAGGGTACCTCGTATAAGTGGAATCATAACATTTTTGTGTGTGTGTGACTAGCTTATTTAACTTAACGTTTTCAAGTTTCGTCCATGTTGTAGTATGTGTTGGAATTTCCTTTTAAAGATAATAATATTCGGGCTTCCCTGGTGGCGCAGTGGTTGAGAGTCCGCCTGCCGATGCAGGGGACACGGGTTCGTGCCCCGGTCCGGGAGGATCCCACATGCCGCGGAGCGGCTGGGCCCGTGAGCCATGGCCGCTGAGCCTGCGTGTCCAGAGCCTGTGCTCTGCAACGGGAGAGGCCACAACAGTGAGAGGCCCGCGTATAGAAAAAAAAAAAAAAAAAAGATAATAATATTCCATTATATTTATATATCACATTTTGTTTATCCATTCATCAATCAATGGACAGTTGAGTTGCTTCAGCTTTTTGGCTGTTGTGAGTAATGTTGCTGTGAACGTGGGTGTACAAATATGTCTTCGTGGCCCTGCCTTTAATTCTTTTGGGTATATATCCAGAAGTGGAATTGCTAGATCATATGGTAATTCTATTTTTAATTTTCTGAGGAACTACAATACTGTCTTCTATAGTGGCTGCACCATTTAAAATAACTTATTTTTGAAGATTCAGTATCACTATGAGTTCTGTTGTGTCTCATTGTTTAATTTGTTGAAATATATTTCTTAAGCAGAGTTAAGGAAGACAATATTTAGGAATCACTAGGAACTTTTAAAGACTTTTTACTTAGTAATTACTAGGAACTTTTTAAGACAAATTACTATAAGCTTGAGAAATTACTATTTCAAATACTGTTGTACTTCAGAGGTAATTTTAAAGACTTTTTTTTTTTGCGGTACATGGGCCTCTCACTGTTGTGGCCTCTCCTGTTGCGGAGCACAGGCTCTGGACGCGCAGGCTCAGTGGCCATGGCTCACGGGCCCAGCCACTCCGCAGCATGTGGGATCTTCCCGGACCGGGGCACGAACCCGTGTTCCCTGCACAGGCAGGCGGACTCTCAACCACTGCGCCACCAGAGGAGCCGTAAAGACTTTTTTTAAAAGAGTTTTTTGTATGTGGAAAAAATAAAACCAAACACCTTGTTGCAAATGTTGTGTCCCAAAATATTAATCAAGGGTGCTTGGAAAACATCTGAGGCTCCTCTATTCCTTAACTTACCTATCCCATTATTAGTATCTACCTTTTAGTTTTTACCATGGCCATATTTTATCAGTGTATATGCTATTTATTATAGAATCATATTGTCCACTTGAACTCTGTAGGCCATCACTAACTCAAAATTGGTTGTTTCTCTTCTAATGATTATGCATATGCTATGCATATACCACTGGTGTGGAGGTTAAGAGCTCCAGCTTTGGAGCCAGTCTGCTTGGCTTCACATTCAGGCAGACCACTTAACAGTGGTGCAGCTTTAGGTTAAGTCAGACCTCCTTATGCCTCAGTTTCCTCATATCTAAAAATGGGAATGATAATAGTATGGAGAAACAGTAATAAATATTGAGAGTAGCATTTGGACTGGTAAACTCTTCTATGTTGATTTGAAAGAATACTGTTGAAGAAAGCAGGTGTGATTCACATATTTATCTTTAATATTTATATACAATCAGCTTTTGAAAGTTGTTTAAGCATTTGTTAACTATATCAGCTTTAGATTAGTTAGGATTTAATATATAGGGGAAAAATGTCTTTGCTCCTTTTTTTCTCCTTATTTGGGTCTTCATCTTACAGCAGACTGAAAAGAGTGCAAATCAGTCTTTTCACTACTTAGTGCTAAAAAGAAAACAAATGATAATAATGAGATCTGGGATTTGTCTACTAGTTATTCTCCTTTACTATAGGAATTAACTCATCTTAAAAGCATCATTCGCATTCCAAGACTTTTCTAAAACCAGACCATGGTATGATATTATGACTTCCCTTCCAGAGAATAATACAGAAGTTAAATACAGTATTTTAAAATCTTACTAGAATTAGATTCTGTCCTTTTTTTTTTTTTCACTCAAAAGATTCAATTAGCATCCCATCAAAAGTAAGAAACGTGTGTGGTTTTTAAAATCTGTATTCTTTTGGGGGTTAGGGGTGTGGGATGAAATAATACATGATGTTGAGGAGAAAATCTTCACTTTGAAGAGGTACATGACTTGTTAATATAAAGTATTTATGAACAGTTTTTCTTTTAAAAGATGTCTGGTTCTAATGCTATGTTCCCCACCCAGGTACTCAGTACATGTTGATTATAAGACTCTACTTTTAAAGAATGAATTAGATGGACCTTAACAGCCTAAAGGAATTTATGGATCCATAAAATGAACACTTCTCTATGGGAGTCCTAATGGTTATTCTTTGACAACACAGGAATATGTCTCTGCATGAAGTTCTATTTATAATACTTTATTAGATTTTGATATATATAGATATAACCCACTAAAAGTGGATGTGGGGTGTAAAGATGAACCCAGACACAGCTGCATTATTATTCAAAATAAAAAATCAAGGATGAAGAATGAATCGAAGTAACAGACTAAACATTATACCATAAAATAATCATAAAAAGTAATTGGATATCTAAATAAAATTAAATGTTTCTATATGGAAGCCTAATAATAAACAAAAATCAACTTGATACCTGAATTTTATCTTATTTTTGATGTTTCATATAGAGAATAGAGATAGCCTGGAATAATGACCCTCTCAGGCAGTGAAGTGTCTGAAAAAGCATTTCTTTATGATCTGATGAACAAGTGTAGTCAGCACTTTTAAGCAGGATAATTAAAGTTTGAGGACCAACCTGGCAGAAGCTCAATTGCTCTAACTTCTAAAGCCAGCTGCTGAATGTGCATGTATAAGCAACATTTATTTATATAAGATATTATCTTGCATGTGGTTAATCAGAATAAGACCTAGGCTTTTTTTCTGGTATCACAGGTTACATATTTCCTCATGTAAAATTTTTAGTCTACCAAAAGATGGCAGTTTTGTTCTTCACAAGTTTCTATTACAATATAAACTAAACGAGTATGGTAGTTTCTATCTTTTTACTACTGTGTATAGTACTTCCTACTCTCGACTAAAACACAAGGTCTTTATACAGCAGAGAAAAGTGTTGAGGTTTTATGAAACTGATAGTCTTTTGTCGTTCTCTTTTAGAAATTTGCCACTTTGAAAAACGTCTTTCAGTGTATTGGCTTCTTTAATATGAGTCTCTTAAATTGTGTTCCTCAAATGACTAAAACTTTAAAAAATCACATTATTTCATTTTATTTTTAAAACTGAGAAATGTAAACCAGAAAATACCTTTTTTTTTTTTTTTTAAAGAAATCTTAGCTGTTGAAAGAGATCCTTTCTTTCCATAGGCAAATTTGGCCAAATTCCGCTCCCTCTGCTGAAACGTGGACCTCTTGCTCTGAATTGAAGGGTTCTTTCATAAGGAAATCTAAGCACTTAGTATTTTGAATAGTGATTTATTCAAAAAGAACTTGATTGACTCAACAAAATACCTCAAGTTCTTATTTTTCTACTTTTCCCCATGTTAAACCTGCACATAACATGTAAATTATTTGGTCTAATTATTTAAAATTATGAAACGTTAAGTTAAAACAGCTATTTGGAAACAGTGTTTTCCCCCTGTCGTGATTGGGTGGATATAACTGGCTAGTGGAATCTGGATGTTTAAAAGACAAATTCTTTGGGGAAAGAAATGAGCCTCTCCACTGTAAATCAATCATCGTAAAAGAACTAGTGTTTCAGTAAATGACTGCTACCTAACCTCTAGTATTCCAAAAAACCGAAAAGAGTATTTCTTTTCAACAGTGAATCACATAAGTTAAAAGCTTCTAAAATATTTGAAATTGTACTTTTTCAAAAATGTGCAGTTTAATACACTTAAGTTTATAGAAAGTTATTCCCAGAAATTCTCAAAATAGAATTTATGCAGGATTAGCAATATGCCACTATTGGCTTCCAAGGCTCTTAATCACAGAATTACCTTTGAGAAATTCATTAAAAGCAGCCTTGTCCCTAATAGCTGCTACTTCTTGATTTCCTATCAGAGTGTACTTGGGGGAAAAAAAGGAAGATGGGTGTGAGAAAGTAGAAAAGGGTATGATTATTTAACCTCGACCTCAAGATAGGCCCTTTTCAGCTTTTGATGTGTTTTATCTGGACATACAGAATTAGCACTGTAAAGAGCCTACAGAGAGTAGACTTCCAAATATTATGTACATTTATCAAAAGTATTCTCATTAAAGGACTATTTTTTGAAACCTGTTAACCTGTTTTTGAAAAGTCATTTTGAAGCCCAGAAATAGTTAGAAATAGACATACCAAGAATTAATACATAGTCTAAATTTATTGCTTTGGGGACATTAAAAAAATTACTGAGATTGTTAAAGAAGATAGTGTGTAGTACTGTAGAAAGAACAGGGAGGATCCAAGTTCAACATATTTTAGCTGTTTTCCTGACATCCCTTTCAACAAATCATTTTAATCTCAGTTTTTCTATCAATAATAGTAATATGTAACATTTGTTTAATACCTAATACTTAAGGTTTCTAATTGCTTGATAGGAATTCTCATCCCAATTGCTTAACAGAGATTTTTTTCTTATTTATTATAAATTGTTCAATTTATTTAAAAAAAAAAAAAAAACAGTTCACCCATTTCTGTCACCTCCCCACCTCTGGCAACCACCAGTCTGCTCTCTGTATCTTGAGCTTGATTTGGGGGGAGTTTTTTGTTTGTTTGTTTTTAGATTCCACATATAAGAGATCATACAGTATTTGTCTTTCTCTGACTTATTTCACTTAGCATAATGCCCTCAAGGTACATCCATATTGTCTCAAATGGCAAGATTTTATTCTTTTTTATGGCTGAATAATAAATCCCATACATTCGAATGAGTTCCATTCGTAAGTCCGATTTATTCTGTTCGTTAAGTCCAACAAAGTTAGCCTGGGTACCCAACTAACACAATCGGCTATATAGTACTGTACTGTAATAGGTTTATAATACTTTTGACACAAATAATAGATAAACACAAACAAGAGAACATTTTTAATCTTACAGTACAGTACCTTGAAAAGTACAGTACAACAGCTGGCATACAGCTGGCATCGAGTGAACAGGCAAGAAGAGTTACTTACTGGAGGAGGGAGAGGAGGTGGGAGATGGTAGAGCTGAAGGATCATCAGCAATAGGAGATGGAGGGCAAGCTGCAATTTCACTCACGCCTGACGCTGATGCCACAGGTTCTGGTTGCTTTCTGGATTCAATTCTATCTACCGTCTTGAAAAAACGATCCAGTGATATCTGGGTAGTAGCTCTTTCTTTCTTGTCACAGATGACACGGTAGCACTGGGTTGCATTCTGAACGGCTACTGCAACATTCGTGTACCATTCTACGTTTGGGTCCTGTGCCTCGAAAAGTAACAGTGCCTCCTCAAATAAAGGAAATCCCCTTGCCATTTCCTGTATCGTGAATCTCTTCAGTTCTTTAGTTACTTCTTCTTTTTGTCTCTCTTCATCCTTTCTCTGGGCCTCCAATTCCATCTTTTCGCCTCGTTCCACTCTCTCAATTATTTTCACTTTTGTTTCTATTGTTATCGCTTGGTGCTTCTTAGCAGTACCAGCTACATTACCACTGCTTTTACGCTTGCTTCCGGACATCCTGGGCTTGAAATAAAGATACTGTACTACTGTACTGTATACAGTATTGTACAATAAAGTACACAAAAGCACAACCACTTGTAGAGGATGCACGCATGTGACAGTGTATGCCCGTCATGTAAACTAACTTACGTGATTGGACATACTATATATTGGCTATTGTAAATAATGCTGCAGTGAACATAGAGGCTCATATATCTTTTTGAGTTAGTGTTTTCATCTTCTTTGGATGAGTACCCAGAAGTGGAATTCCTGGATCAGATGGTAGTTCTATTTTTAATTTTTTGAGGAATCCCTGTACTGTTTTCCGTAGTAGCTGCATCAATTTACATTCCCACCAACAGTGCACAAGAGTTCTCTTTTCTCCATATCCTTACCAACACCTGTTATTTCTTGTCTTTTTTGTAACAGCCAGGTGTGATATCTCATTGTGGTTTTGATTTGCATTTCCCTGATTTATGATGTTGAGCATCTTTTCATTTACCTGTTGGCCATCTGTATGTATTTGGAAAATGTCTATTCAGATCTGCCCATTTTTTAGTTGGACTGTTTGGGTTTTTTTCTGTTGAGTTGTACAAGTTTTTTATATATTTTGGATATCAGCCTCTTATCATATATATGATTTGCAAATATTTTCTCCCATTCAGTAGCTTTCATTTTATTGATGGTTTCTTTTGCTGTGCAGAAGCCTTTTAGTTTGATGTAGTCCCACTTGTTTATTTTTGCTTTTGGTGTCAGATTATCCCAGTTGTATAGGTGAGGAGACCAGAGAGGTTAAGCAATTTGCCCTAAGTAATAAGCTAGTGAGTGGCATTGCTGGAATTCAGATCTGAGTTTCTCTGACTCTAGAGCCTGTGTCTCTGTACTGCTTCTAATAAATGTTTGTTATTTGCCCAACTTACCTTCAGAGGGATGATGTGAAGATAAAATATGATAATGGGTGTAAATGTACTTCAGATTTCACATAGTTGTATTTTTCAAAGTATTTTTAATGATGTTATGGTATGGATGAGACCTTTAAACGTGTTCAATATTTAATTTTCAAAGCTTCATTTAAAAGACAAGAAGAGATTTGAAAAAGCTAACCAGGATTCAGGTCCTGGTTTGAATCTTGAAGAATTTATTGCTTTTGAGCATCCTGAAGAAGTTGATTACATGACGGTAAGGAAGAAACATTTCAAGATGACTATTGAATGACCAAAACTTTAAAACTTGCTTTTACAAAGTAATTAAAATGAATTGTATGGCAAACAGAATTTTGAGAGACAGGAAGATCTAGTTTTCCCTGCTTAAGATAAGGAGTGGGAAGAAGGAGGTTTTCTGGTGGGGTGGGGTGGGGTGTGCTTATTGGGAGGAAGAAGGTAAGGAATGAGTTTTCTTTAATCTCTGTAACATATATGAGCATCAGTCTTTCCCTGGCTAATTTCTGTTTCATAACCACATTATCTTCAGTGCCTTCCTTGTCTTTTTGTAGTTTTCCGACTTTCCTCTGGTGTTGCAGTATTAGTAACACTAGAACTTCCTATTTAGTTTACAGCATCACTTGTGAAAACTTTTGGTCTGGGAAAATGTATCACATTTGGATCCCCTTTCATAGGGTGTGTGGGGGTAGGGCAGGGAGTACAGCTGCTAATGACTAATGATGTTTTTGCAACTTTAGGCATAATGAGTCCTCTCATCCCTTTAGTGCTTAAAAGAAGTACCAGCTCTTCAAAATTTTGTTGGACTCTAGGTTTAATTTAACACTGATTAAGTCCCTCCTATGACTTGATAAGCTTCTTGAGAACAGAAACTGTCGTATTGGAGGGTAAAGATTAATATAAGACATGGCTTTTAAAAAATAGGCTAAACATTTATATTGAGGTCTGTTGCCTGGCATCAGCCTCCAGCCATGTGGCTTAGTTCCCTGGACATTTCAGGGAGGGGAGATGTAGCTTTTTGTCTAATGGGTCATGGTCAGATGCTGCTACCTTGTTAGACAGGCTGCAGATATGTTTTTCATCACCTAGTTTAAGAACATTGGCACAATTTGTTTAATTAGGGCCAATTAGGGCCAAAAATTGAGCCCTAGCATGGTAGGCAGAGGATGTTGGATCTTGATTGAGGAATAAGGAACAGTTGAAGACTGAGGAGGGAGATGACCAATGAAAGCAATGAAATAATTTAGGCATTATATGTTATGGCCCCGGAATACAAGGTGGCAATGGAATGAATTAGACTTGACCAACATTTTGAAGAAAGCATAGACAGGAATGTTGACTGACTAAGCACGGGAAGGGAGGGGGGCAAGAGTCAGAGATGACTGTGAGGTTTGGGGCTGGCGTAACAATGAAAGCCCATTGCAGAATGGGGTGTGTCAGTATGGGGAAGTATGTTCTTTGTGCTGAGTTGGCCTTGATGGCAGCATATAAGGTGTGTGACCATAAATTGGTGTCTCATTCAGAGCGGCTTCATTAATTCCTATTTACCTCAATTGTTTTTGCATATCCCTTTTTCCCTTTAAGGATATGTTTGATATAGGAAAAGGCAGGAGTACAAGATCAACTAAGTAATTCTACTTTGGATTAAAATTTGGAATTTAAAGATATTTTCATTCACGTAGTTCCAAAAATTATTTTAACCAAGGCAACATTATTGTAATAAGTCTATTGTTTCCCAAGAGGATTACTTCAATGGAGGGATATAATCATTTTGATCAGTGATTCTTTCACTGGGTCACAGACTTCTTAAAAAATATGATGCAAACTATTGTTTCCCAAGAGGATTACTTGAATGGAGGAATAATCATTTTGATCAGTGATTCTTTTACTGGGTCACAGACTCCTTAAAAAATATGATGCAAACTATATACTGTGTCCCAGAAAAATCCTATGTATGTCCATGTTCATACACGTGAAGTATTGGATTATAATTTCAAGAGATTCTCAGATCCTCTCTCTAAAACCAATCTTTGGATATCCAGGTTAAGATGCCCTGGTTTCTATATATAAAATCTGTAATATTTGATTTTTAAAAACGCCAACAACTTGTATTTCAGTGTTATTTCATACAGATGTAGATAAAGCCCCTGGGTTTGACTAGAATGGTAGACTTCTGAGAATACATTTCATTATAGTTGTGATGCCAGAATCCAGATTGAAAGGTATTTGGGTGGCAGTAGGTAATGAGGAAACGAGAACAGTAAGGTATAACCTATGAGAGGAAAAGAAAAACCAGGATGGTGGCTAAAGAGTGCAGCATAGTCATTGGGGACTTGAATGTTTTTAAAGGCATAGAAGAAGGAGCTAGTGGAAAAGAGATTGGAGCCTTGGGAGAGGCTGGAGTTAAGAGTGAAAGAAAGCACTCAGGAAATGGGGTAGTATGGGATCTAGGAAGACAGTTGAGGGCTTCACCCTAGAGAAGAGGGGGAGAGAGCTTTAACTGCTGAGATCAAAGGCCTAAAATGATGAGAGGAAAAGGCATATATAGAGGTAATTAAAGGTGAGGATGCAATGCTGGGAAACAAGGAAGCATTTCAGAAGACCTGTACCATGTTTAGAAAAACAGGAGGGTCTTTGTCAAGAGTGTACTGGAGAGAGTTAGGGTGAGGCCCAAGGAAAATGGAGGTTTCAAAAAACAGCTGTAGAGTGTATGTTAGGGAAAGTGAGGCAGAGATAGACTTCGAAGCTGCAGTGAGACCCCACCAAAATGGCAAATTAATTTACAAGGACTAGTTTCTATTTTTGTATCTTTCTCTGATTCTGGAATAAAGGAGAAAGTGAAGTGAGTCTGTTGTACTAGATGGGGATTGGCATAATAAGAAGAGGGTACAAGGGGATATAGGAATATAATAAGGGAAGTACTGAAGCAACTGGCCATTAAATGGGTCATCTTGGGTCAAGTATAACGAGAAAGGGTGTGGTCTCTGGGTCAGAGGGGAGTGATTGGTAAGAAGCCTTGGTAAGCGTGAGGAACAGATTTGGGGGCAATCTGGTGTGGATAGGGTAGATTGGTAGAAGAAGAAGCAGGGAAGTTGAGGTTTTATAGGGGACTGCCCCATTTCAGGTCTGGGGGTAGAACAGCAGCTCTATTCAAAGACATCTGAGACAACGGTTCTTTTGGGGTTGTTAATAGATTTGAGGGAAAGTGGAATTAAAGAACACAAAGGTAGTAAGATACGTCATTCTTCAGAAGGAGGGTAATGTGCAGAAAATAGGAGTGTGAGTTTAGTGCCGAGGTTGTTCAGGAGGGTGAAGTGGAGTGCTCAATAATAGAAACTTAAGGATGTTGAATTTTAAGCTATTTAATATTTGGGGTTTTATTCCTGCTTCTAAATTCCAATGTTTAGAAAGGTTGTCTTGCAAGTATGGACAACCAAAATAATTATTCCTAAATAAGTTCTGTAGTAGCATTGATTCAGATGGTGGTGGGATTGAAACTTTTGTGACTAATTTTTTTTGTGTATGTGTGTGTGAACGGACATGCAATAGGAATTTGTCATTCAAGAGGCTTTAGAAGAACATGACAAAAATGGTGATGGATTTGTTAGTTTGGAAGAATTTCTTGGTGACTACAGGCGGGACCCAAGTAAGTAGCTTGGGGATGTGTGGAAGGGGGTGGGGAAGAAGAAAGAAATTGAAAGACAGTCTTGCTCATTGAGAGTTCTGTTTGACAGAGGAAAATGGAAGAAGAACTAGGCCTGATTCCTCCTTGTTCTGCCAAGTTCAGTAAAATACAGGGGAAACAAAGGAACTTAAAACTTATCTGAGAATGCTGTTTTTACTCACTTTTAGTTCCACATCTAGATCCAAGCATTTTTATTCCTTTTCAAACAAATACAATGTAATCATTAATCCAAATGGGTGAGGAAGTAAAGGTTGATATTTTTAAATAGACTTCTGTACCCTTGCATGTAGATCTTGAAAGAGAAGAAAATATAGAATCCTATAAATACTGGAGTAAGACTGGAAGGTGGCTTACTGAGTGTTTGAAATTTGAGGAGTTTTTAAATGCAGCTTTTTCTGAAAGCAGCTGTCTTTTCAGAATTGTTGCTTAAAAGCATCACTTATTGTGAATGTCACTTTAAAATTACACATGGCATTGCTTTGTAAGAGCACGCAGGAAGCTTTAGTCACATGATGTACATAAAAACATTACCTAGCTCAAACTTGGGAAAACTGTATCCGAACAAGTAGCAGCAGTTACCAAAATTACTAGTTTGTGATAATAAGCAACAATTTTAAAACTCTGAGTATCACTTTTGAAAATTACTATAGAGTTTATACTTATTTCAGGACTTTTCAGTTAAGTACCTCTGTTTCTTTGGGCCTCCTTTATTTGGTGAGCTTTAATTCATTTCCTTTATTCTAGGGGTATACCAAACTTATTGGATACATGTGATATTCTTGCGTATGCATGTTTATGTTCTTGGGTTTTTTTTTAATATATTAAGCAGCAAATGAAGATCCAGAGTGGATACTCGTTGAGAAAGATAGATTCCTGAATGATTATGACAAAGATGCTGACGGCAGGCTTGATCCCCAAGAGCTGTTGTCTTGGGTAGTACCCAACAATCAAGGCATTGCACAAGAAGAGGTAAGTGTTACAGAATTACTCTCTCATCCCCAAATTGGTGGTACTGGTAGTAAAGGAAATTCAAAATCTTAAGCCAAAGAAAGAAGTAGTGGAGTTATTTATTTAGGAATAATGCATTGCTATTTATTGATTTAAATTTATGATCTGTTTTAGATTTTCAAGGAGACAGAGAAGTTAAGATTGTATCATGTATTAATCTGATAGCACAATAGAATAATAAAAGTTTGTATTTACCTGTAGGGGCTCAAAATGAGTTATATTAATTTTGCTTTACTTTGAGATATCCTGAATTGGATTTGAGTTGGGAGGAGGTAGAACCCAGCAGAAATAAAGGAAGGAGGTAATGAGAGACTCCGTAGACAGACCTGGTCACAATGGTTAATATTTTTAGATACTTAGACAATAATGAGTACTTGGCATACCTGAATGGTTTTGACAAATCAAATCACATTAAAATGTGAACATCTTGCTGAAAACGCTTATTACACTTGACACCTTTTTGTTTTGTTTTATTTTAAAGGCTCTTCATCTAATTGATGAAGTGGATTTGAATAGTGACAGAAAGCTGTCTGAAGCAGAGATTCTGGAGAACCAGGACTTGTTTCTTACCAGCGAAGCCACAGATTATGGCAGACAGCTTCAGGATGAATATTTCTATCACGATGAGCTTTAATCCCTGGGTATATCTGAGTAGAGTACTGGCTCCTTTTATAGTTTGTTACCAGCTTTACTTTTGTGATAAAATGTTGATGTTATATTTTACATTCTTACATCTTACCACAGTCAAGATTAATGTACATTAAAATTTTGGCCTTTTAGAAGAAACGTAAAACAAAAACCTGATATTTATTTCAAAACATATTGAAGAAATGAAACAATATTGTGCCATATGACAACATAGTCTTTCCTAAATATTCCATTTGTTTAGTACTGTATTATGGAATATTTGAGTTCTGTTTCCATACTTGAAAAAATGGAGGATTCTAGAGATGGCTGAACAATATTATTTAAGTAGTATATGACTGAGCTAGCAATTTTTATTTTAAGTAGATTTAATTTGGGAACTGACAGAAGGACATTGTGTTTAGTTTTAGCATTTTTGTTTTAAAACCTTTAAAGGAACCTTAGAAGGACTTATGCCTCACATGTTAATGTTGAGAAGTTCTGCTTAATTTTAAAATGGTTTCTATAAAAGGTTTTATTGTATGAAATAGAACTTTATATTTTTGCATATGTATAGATAGTAATTATATTTAATGTGTAACTATAGCATTATGGTGAGTGGAATTTGACATTGTCCAGAACTCTTTTCTTTTTTTTGACTGATTAAAAATGAAATGTCCTATCTTTTTATATGTGTGTTTGTTTTTCTTTAATCTTTCACGTAAACCTTGAATTTAGCAAAAGTTTTGTTGTATTATACATTACTTCACCTCATCCATTCCTGTATTTTATTTGGGGAGTGAATGTTCTCAAAACTCTGTTAAATTATATTCTTGCTGCATATTCTTATTTTGCCTTTTTTTTTTCTAGATAAAAGAATCATATTATAATTGAATGTGCACCTGACACATTTCAGTTGCTATTGTGGCAAATGTGGTCTTGCTATTTGGGGCTAGAAATAATCATAAGAACTACACAGGTTGAAATCACCAGTAGAGCTGGTTAGTTATCCGCAGTAGAGCTCAAGATCAGTCATAATGAAATTAAAATCATACTTGATAAGCATTTCTCCACACCTAAATGGTCAGTTTTAACCTTATTCAGGAAGTCAACTTATTACCTTTGTGGGGAGTAAGAAAAGTGAGAAGGTGAGAAATTCATTTTTTCATAGCTTTGACTCACAGATAGTTTTTCTTTCTGTTTTCTTAAATTACTTTTATTTGTGGATGACGAGGTCAGCTATGCATTCTATTAATCTTTTCCCAATCTAAAGTTGTCTCCTTTATAGCACACACAGCACTGGAGGGCTCAGCCAGTCTTTATGAGTTACTAGAGAAAATCTGAAGCCCTTTTCTAATAGAATTAACTGCATCAGCTTACCTTTCTACTGCTCCCACCTCTGCTCATGTGAGTCGCGAATGCAAATTGTAACCTCTCACACTTTAGTGATAGCTTGCTTACCCTGGTATCTAAAGTACATGGTTTTCATTTTAACTTACACAATACCTGTCTGGCCTTTTAAGAATTAAAGATATACCATTATCACTCATCTGCTACTTGTCAGACTTATTGAAGTTGGGATATTTGGAATAACCAGTTTGATTAGCATGCTAACCATTTGTTTTTCTCACTAGATTCTCCAAAATCTATACCAGAATTGTTAGATCATTGGATATGGCTTTTATTTTTAATCTTAATGAGTTAAGAGTTAGCATTCTACATTGTCTTGATTTCATGCAGATATAAGAATTTTGGTGACATTATTAGCGGTCACAAGTATCTGTACTCCTTTAGTTCCTGGCATAAAGAAAATTACACTTTCCAGCCCCCATGTGGGTGAGCAAGGGCTAGTTCTGACCAGTTAAATGTGAGTAGAAGTAGTATGTGTCACTCCCAGACCAGGCCAGTGACAAACCTTTGCCATGGCATTGTAGAGGATGCCTCACTTGAAATGGTGAAGCCACAAGATCAAAGTAGTCTTGATTTCTGAGTGATCACATGGAGGTCAGTTGGACCATCAGTGGACTTTGCATGATCAAAAAATAGACTTTTATTATGTTAAGCTACTAAGATTTTGGTGTGTTTTTTGGTTTTTTGTTTTTTAAACTAAAGCAGAGCCCAGCCTATCCTTACTGAGTGAAGATTTAGTATTAAACAATTGGCTTTTATAAGCATATGGAGAAGAATCATCATCTACTTGAACGGAGTTTCTATATCTTCTGCTAATTCAAAATAGAAAAGTTTATTTTTAAGGCTTTATTTGGATTTAAATTTTAAATAAGCCTCTTTAAAAATAAAACTTTAGGGCTTCCCTGGTGACGCAGTGGTTGAGAGTCCGCCTGCCGTTGCAGGGGACACGGGTTTGTGCCCCGGTCCGGGAAGATCTCACATGCCGCGGAGCAGCTGGGCCCGTGAGCCATGGCCGCTGAGCCTGCGCGTCCGGAGCCTGTGCTCCGCAATGGGACAGGCCACAGCAGTGAGAGGCCCGCGTACCGCGCAAAAAAAAAAAAAAAAAAAAAAAAAAAAAATTTTAACAGAATTAGGATAATTCGAATTTATTCATATGGAATGAGAGTAAAGATAGAATGAGGCTTTTTGAATAAGCTGATTCTGGCTGAAGGACTTAATTACTTCCACTGTTTGACTTCAGTACTACTTCAAAATGGAAAAGTTGGCAGTATTTGCACAAATCAGTTCATATGTGGTTCTGATTGGGCAAATATACAGGACAGAAAATGACTTTCTAGTTTGTGGTATGAACTTAAAGGAAGCCAGGACATTCATAGTAAAAAGCCATGATGTCATGTTTGCCTTACTTATTAGTTCTTTCCTTTGCAGTTTTGTTTTTTTTTAAACAGACCTTATTTTTCGAGCAGTCTTAGATTCACAGCAAAATTGAGCAAAAAGGTAGTTATTTCTCATACGCTCTGCTCTTTGCATATGCACAGCCCCCTGCACTATCAAAATCCTGCACCGGAGTGGTATATTTGTTACAATTGATGAGCCTACATTGACACATTATTATCACCCAAAGGCCACAGTTTACATTAGGATTCACTCTTGGCCTTGTACATTCTGTGGGTTTGGACAAATGTATAATGACAAATCCACCTTTATACAGAGTAGTTTCACTGCCCTAAAATCCTCTGTGCCCTGCCTTCATTCATTCCTCCTGCACCAAACCCCTGGCAAACACTAAACTTACTGTCTCCTTAGTTTTGCCTTTTCCAGAACATCGTATAGTTGGAATTATACAATATATAGCCTTTTAAGGTTACTTTGCAGTTTTGAATGTACACCATTGTTGCTCTAGGTTTTTGTGTTACCATATTTCCTTTTAAGTGAAAAATTTCTACTTAAACTTCCATAAGATCTTTTCAACTTTGGAAAATGATTTGGGAAAGCCAGTAAGAGTCGAATTTTTGAAACAAGTATAACAACTAGTGTGCTTCATTTCAACATTGAGTTTTTGTCTAATATTTGGCCAGATTTCCTGGCTGCTATGAAATTTTTTACAACTGATATCAGTGAGTAGCTCAACTACTTAAGAGCCACCAGAACAGCTACTAAAATGTCTCAATTTGATTTGGAAAAAAAGACAATTCAAGTATAGAGGAAAACAAGTATGGTGAAATACCTAGAGTTCGCCATATCTTTATTTCAAATTAACTAAAATTAGTTCATGAGCTGTCGAAAGTAAACCACTTGAATTTATAAAACTTTAAAAATGGTTAAAGAGATTGTTTAAAAATCACATAGCCTTTAGTCTTGGTTTTATGTACCCTAGACGAAAAAAATCATCCTAGTTCTGTTTTGTTCTACAAAGATATTTTTCTTTTCTTCTGAGGCCAGGATCCAATGAACGTAAAGCATCGTTCTTTTGCTGTGTAGTACCATTAGCAGTGATTGGTAACACAGGTAAAGAGACCATCTCACTACAAGGATACACTAAAAGCATGAACAAAGGTGTTTTTTGTGCCAGCTGCTGGCCTGCCTGAATTGATGTTTTGTTGTTCTGTCTAACAACAAATGACCTCATACAAGTGATTGATTTTGTAAGAGTACTCTGTAATAAAAAAACTTGATTATATTTAATTGTAGACTTGCCTTCGTGGTGGTAAGGAAAGGGAAGCTGGGCTAAGCTGAGGCTGAGCTGTGACTAAGCTGTTTACAGGTATTTCACCTCACCGGCATATAGCAATTAGTCTTCCACCTGTGCTCCTTCAGCCCTTCCTTTTTTTTTTTGCGGTACGCGGGCCTCTCACTGTTGTGGTCTCTCCCGTTGCGGAGCACAGGCTCCAGACGCGCAGGCTCAGCGGCCATGGCTCATGCACGCGCCCAGCCGTTCCGCGGCATGTGGGATCTTCCCGGACCGGGGCACGAACCCGCGTCCCCTGCATCGGCAGGCGGACTCTCAACCACTGCGCCACCAGGGAAGCCCGCAGCCCTTCCACTTTTTAAACACCAGCACCGCAGCAAAGCTCCTAACTCCCGAACAACCCACCAAAGCAAAACAGCAAATACTGCGAGCTTAGAAAAGAGGTGAGGGTGATTTGTATTAATGCCACTTTCCTACTCAATTTAAAGGACATGATAAACATTTATTTATAAAATTTCCTGTATGACAAAGAGAAAAAATATAACAGTTTATCTGGAAATCAATGTGTTATCCTTCCTTAAAGTTAAAAGAATGGAATGTAAGTTTCTTGAGGACTGCAGCTGTATCTTTATCATTGTGTTTGCAGTGCCCAGTATGTGATTAGCACATAGTAGATATTTACTGAATGAAGTTACTAGTGACACAAGATGAGAGAAAGCTGACATAATATCAGTTTGTTTCAATGACTAATTTTTTAAATGTCTCAGCCTGTTCTTGCCTTGTGGTCTCTCTTTAAAAAAAAATTCTTTGGATGTTTAAATATATTTGTTTAAGTATCTTTGAGATTATTCTGTTAGTTCTAGGTGTACTCCCATTTGTCAGTCCACTGACTCTCCCTCATTATGGTTTGCAAGTTTTGACTGAATTCACATTTAGTGAGAGCTGTTTGCATAGAGTCTCGTGTGTCCAAGGTTGTAGAAATGTCATTTGTTAGGTCCTGTGGGTTTTATCAGTTCTAGACAGGTTTCTGTGTTAAATTTCTTAGCCTGAAGTTTCTGTACCTCACAGTAGGGTGAATTTGGACTCCATATATCTGCATGGGCACAGTTTTGGTGTCTGATTTCTCATCAGTGACCTTATCTACCCACGATTGGCAGATACTGTACTTCCTTGTTCCTTTTTAGACCAGTGAGTGGGTTTTTCTAGTCTTCATTTCAAAGAAAGCCTCCTTCATGGTCCTGGCCAGCTCCCCACTGTAGAAGCATCATCTCTTTTCCTTTTCTTTGGCATTAAGACCTCAGCCCCTGTGGTTAAGGCCCATATTCAGGTGCCGTATGTGATCCTCCTGTGAACCATCGTGCCCTTGTTCATTCCGTCTTTGTTTTTATTCCTTCTTTGTTCTAGTACCTGGAGATTTCTCTTTCTTGCTCTTATACTCTGATTTATATTCTTAAATGTTTTGGATTGTATTTTGTCTAGCTTTTAAGTTTGTTTGGAGCAGGATTTCAATCGCCATGATGACTAAGAAGCTTTACTGTTAATTTATACTGAAAGAGCTGGATTTTTAATGTGACTATAAGCTAGTAGCATA